ATTTTGTAGACACTTTAACCTCTCCATCTTGTCCTAGCCTTTTTTGTAGGTGTCTGAGAGCTGAGGCACCTGACTATAAACATGCTGAAAGTTCTTTGTCAATGCTGGTGTCATCAGTAGTTGCGCTACCTATGACATTGTTTAATTGGCTTTCACTCAATTTTATTTCTGGTGGTGATGGAGGTAATAGGTTTCTGCCATAAGGTGGCTAGTACACGACTTTGGTTTTCTTTCCATTAATACAGAGGCCCAAAAGGGTTGCAGCATAAGCAAAGGAATTCAGTGAATGTTGCAGATCATTCTCAGAGAGGTCATTGCTATCCAGTCGTTCCTTTAATTCACTTGGTTGGGATTTGCTGTTTGCCTTGAATCAGAAGAGGTTTAGAATTCTGCAATTAAATCATAGTGTTAGGGTGACACCAGTAGTGGTAGTACATGCAGTGACTTCTAGCACTCCATCCAAGAACAGAGTAAATAATGTAGGGGCAAGTACACAGCCATGTTTAAGCCCATTGGTTACAGGAAAGGCATCAGATGAGTTGGCACGCACTGATATATGGGCCTGCATGTTGTCATGGAAGCAGTGTATGAGGCTAATTAATTTGTCTGGGCACCTGAACTTTACAAGAAGGCACCAGGGAGCACAGCATCCAACAGAGCTGAACACCTTACTAAAGTCGACAAATACAATGTTCGGGGGCATTTGTTGTTTGCCAGCTTTCCCCTGTAACTGGCGTAGGGTAAACATCATGTCAGCAGTGCTGCACGATGACTGAAAACTGCACTGGGATTCAGGGAATAGATCCTGGAGCCTTCTCAGCAACAGCTTACCAAGGGGCTACCAGTGATGAAAAGGAGTAAAGTGCGTTATAGTTGCCGCCATCATGTTTGTTTCATTTGCACTCCTAGATAGTTACAGTTTTGGTATCTTCAAAATCCTCGGGTAAAGACTGGCATTCCCAGCAGCAAGTAAATAGGTGTAGCAAAGCTTTGTGAAGTTTAGGACCACCAGATTTAAAAACTTCAGTTAGTATTTCATAAGCTCCAGCTGCCTTTCCATTTACCATTTCCAAAAGCACGTTCTTAATCTCCTCCAGAGTTGCAGGACCTTTGTGTTCATATTGAACTGGTCTTTGCTTGATTCAGTCTATTATTTGACCATTTGTGTTTGACTCATGATTGAGGAGGGTGGCAAAATGTTCTTCCTAGCTTTCTAATACCATACTGTGCTCAGTCAATAGGGTGGTGCTGTCAGAAGACAGGATTGGACAGGTATTGGCTCTTTGTGGTCCATAAATGGGTTTTAACTCCTGAAAAAAAAACTTGGATGTTATTTGTATAAGCAACAGCTTGTAGTTCTTTTGCTTTGTTTCTCTATCAAGTGTCCTCCACAGCTTTTTCTGCACTTCAAATTTTGATTTCTTGAAGGCTTCTGCAGCCCCAAGAGGAGAGGTTGTTCAGTTTAAGTTGGTGCATGGCTGGATGGGTCACATGGAGTGTTTGAATATTGTTGTCATTTGCATCAAACCAGTCCACATTCATTGTTCTGGGACAACCAAGACTTCGTTAGGTGTTGATTGCAGTGAAGTTTGAAAGGCATGCCACCTTTCATCGACAGTTCAGCTTGCTCTTCCATTAACTCAGTTTGATAGTTCAGCATGAATGCAAGTTGCTGAGTTCTCCTCTCTTCTGTGCAACGTCTCAACAAATCGACATGTCATTTTGGTTTTGGAGCAACCTTGGGTCTAGTAGTGTGACTCTTGATGTTCAGTTAAGTATGGATAAGCTGGTGATCCACAGAGTATTCTGTGCGTCACATAGCCCTGGAAATATAAATATGCCTCAGGTCATTGTGACGAGTGATGACATAGTTTTAAATGTGCCATTGTTTGAGCAAAGGTGCTGTCAAGAGTAGGACCATTTTTTTGGCATGTTGAAGAAGGTGTTCCTAACAGCCAGGTCAAACTCTGTGTAGAGTGTTAGGAGTAATTCTCCGTTTGCTTTTAGACACCCATGACCAAATTTCTACATGGCTGTTCCCAGTGGTGTAGTCCCCTCCAAACCATGCATTGAAGTCACCCAGTAGTAGAATTTTATCATTGTTAGGTATGTTTCTTAGGGTGTCACTCAGCTGGCTTTAGAATGGTGTGTTTGTTTTTTCCAGTAGTGCTGGGGCAGGGGCACTACGTATTGTCAGAAAGTTGTTGTGTTATTGTGATTTCTACCCTAAATAGGCTGGCATTCTGCCTTATAACCTAACTAGTAGAAAGTGTATTCTTGTTCTCTAAGCACACTGCCATTGTGTAGTCTAGCCTTGGATAAGGTAGTGATATTTAGTTGATAGCTGTGTAGCTCTTTCACAACTAATGCCGTTCTTCTGCAATCTTGATTTAACTTTGAGTCAAGTAATGTATAGACATTCCAGCATCCGATTATCAATTTCTGTCCATCTTTGTGATTGTTTCTCCCTTTAAAAGGGAAATCCTGCTGATTGTGGGAAACCAACAAGGAGTCAGTGAGAAGCAAGCCTTTTTTACCCCAATTTTTATAGAGGCCTCCTTGGATTGAGCCAGGTAGGCCCTCCCTAATTAGGGCTGCCTGGACGCTTAGGTAGAACCTCATGCTCGCAATACCAAGTGAGAATCATGCGACCAGCACATCTAGGCCACTTGTGTGAAGATTTTTGGCTATTGGCTTCCAGCTTCTCAGGCCTGGCAGCAGTACCTAGGAAATTCTTGGTATGAGTCTTTTTTGTGAAGGGTTAGTGGATCATAATGGTGAAGTACTGGGAGGGTGGAAGCTGTTGGTACCAGAAGATTGTCCCTGCAAAATAATATAATGTGCAAGCTGTGGTAAGTAGTAGTGAGGAGCACACTCTAAGATGCTGTAACCTTTACCCAGCAGAGAACTGATGCTTGATGGCTGGAGGGTTTTGGGTCTGCCCCGCAGTGCCTTCTTACTCAGCTATATGGCTCCTGCCATTGTCCAAAGACAATCCTCTGCCAGGCACCTGGAACTTAGTGGCTGCTGATCCATATTAGGATTCTTTTGTCTATTTCAGCCCTAACCATTCACCTTGCTCCTGATGAAAAGTGTGCACCTAGATTCACCATTTCCAGATACTAACGGTTTAGTCCAGATAAGGATTTATAGGAAAGATGGGGGTGACGTCCACATGACTCTAGGATGAGGCTCTAGGTGGGGTTTCCCCTATCCCTTGCCATTCCAATGACAGGTAGGATTATAACATTTATCTAAAACTTGTCTTACTCAGGTATCTGAAGACTGGCACCATACTGCACAATACGACTGATTTTGAAATGGTTAACTGAATACCTTACAGAAGTATGCAAACTAGTTTCTCAGTAGCTAAGACTCAATCAAAAATGGTTAGAAAAATGATTTTCAGAAAACCATGAATCTGAATTACAGGTGAGGAACCAACTAATGATTAATTTG